AGTACAAAAACATTACAGACACATATACGTATAAACATTACAAAAACACAAACACTATGCAAATTTTGCAACGTTACAAAAAACATATGTAAATACTACAACTCACCTATAAAAACTACATAAGTATCTATATAAATTATCAAAATGTAAACATTACCGACTTATATACATCGTGCTGCTAAAGAACAGTACAGTAGCTTGTGTTTACGTCGGAGATTAAGTGTTTTTGTCAAGATTTAAATGATGGTATATGTTGGGTGTGTGTACTCACCTATTTGTGGTTGCAGGGGTCGAGTCATATCTCCTGGCCCCGCCTCTTCACTGTGTGTGTGTGTGTGTGTGTGTGTGTGTGTGTGTGTGTGTGTGTGTGTGTGTGTGTGTGTGTGTGTATTACCAGTTCACGTTACCAGTTCTCTTTTCTTACGTATCTAGTTCTGAAGCTGTGTATGGTATCTATGAGAAGAGCCTTTATCTCTCTGAAGATCTTGTATTGCCTGTCTTCCCAGAATCAAACCTGATTAACCCCATCCCTTCCACTCCCCAGGCGCTGTATGACCCTTTCGGGTTTAGGGATTCCTCATTAATATAATAATGATAATAACTGTAACATATAATATTTATGCTGATAATAATAATAATAATAATAATTAAAATAATAATAATAATAATAATAATAATAATAATAATAATAATAATAATAAATAATAATAATAATAATAATAATAATAATAAGAAGAAGAAGAAGAAGAAGAAGAAGAAGAAGAAGAAGAAGAAAAAGAAGAAGAAGAAGAAGAAGAAGAAGAAGAATCATTTGGTTCTGGTCTCCCATGTTACAACTAACCTAACCTAACCTAACCTAACATTACCTTACACTATTCCTAAAACTCACACTCGCTCCCCAGTCTCAACATGCGAATATAAGAAAGGAGGAACACTGCAGGAGGCCTACAGGCCCATGCTAGGCAGGTCCTTCTCAAACCCAACTCCACTAGCAAAAATATTTGCCCAACTTATTTTCAGTGTTACCCAGAAACCCACTGAAACTGAAAGCCACTGACAGTCTGGTACACTGTCCCTTCCTTCATCACTTGTGAACCATCAGCTACACTCACTCTACACTACACACCCACTAGAGAAAAAAAGCGGGTGTCTTCACTGATGAAAGCCACCAGTGGCTTTCTTCAGTCCTATATAACAGAGATAGTGGAAGAAATGGAGAGGTAATTTTGGGGCTTTCAGTCCCTCCGTCTATCTGGTTACTGATTTTACAAAAAAAGCAGCCTAAAAAAAGTCAGTGTATCTCCACCTGTCCGTGAGGAAAGTGTCTCATTAGCGGCGGGGCTCCCAGCATGCGAAATAAGCAACGTGTTTGCCATTGAGTGAGAACACAATGTGATGCAGACATTCTCAAATACGAGAGAAGTTTTTTTGAGGCTCCTTACTGATAAAGAAGATAGAACAAGCTTCAACTGGGAGACAATCTTTTACTCTACGTAAAGCTTTATCGAGTCACGTGAAATGTTGTGCCAGAGAAAGCTTCTCAGTATCTCCCGCATTTTACCACTGTTGTCGGTACGCTAATTGTATCAAATCTATAATACTATTTTTGTAAATGCCTCGATGTTGCCTTGCCATTCAGTGTCCAAAAGATCTGATGGGTCTGGTTGCCCAAATTACGTGTTCTCTGGTAAAAAAAAAAAAATGGCACCCATAAATATTCGTGGGTTCCCATAAGTACATTTGGAGTGACGATGTTTCTAGGACCGAAACATTTGAATACAATGCCCTGCTGTCTGCTTTTTAGTGTCTGGAATGTTCTCTGTATGCCCAAGGAATGAAGTTCGATGCCCGAATGATGATGCACTTCTACAGCTGCGAAGGATTGGAACTATTCAGTGTCCACTGGATAAAAGTCCTTTGCATGCCCCAAGGATGCAAGTATATTTAAATATACCCAAAAATGGCAATCCTGAATGCCCAAACGAAGAAGTGTCTTTAGAATACCTCCAAAAATGAAGTGCATTTATGGCCCCCAAGAAGCCTTTTAATGCCCAAAGACTGAGATTCCTCAGTAACCACAGAATAAAAAGCCCTTTGCATACCACTAAGGGTAAAATTCTTGACCCAGGAAGGTATTTCAATAGTCAGGAAGGGTACCATTTATCTCGCGAAAAAAAATCCATTAGGAACTTTATAAACTCCAAATTTGACAAATCATATCACCCATGAATGAAAGCCCTTTTTCATACATTTGGAAAATTCCCTTTTCCCATATCAATGGGACTTTGATATGGTAAAAACCATTAAGAACTTCAACGGAAGCAGGAAAACTTCCCTCAGTGGCAGACGCTTGTTGCACCTTAGTTTGCCCAATTTATTCTTGGTTCTGCTGGCAAATGCACCCTGGATGAGTTGACACAGTCTGACACAATCTCTCCCCTCCTGCTGTCTGTCGCTATCTGTCTTCAGACCAACCTGAGTCTGTCTGCCCGCCTAAGGTATTGGAGGAGGAGGCTGACTGAACAGGGGATGCTGATAGAGAGAGAGAAGAGATGCAGAGATGAGAGAAGAGGGAGGAGGAGAGAGGAGAGAGAGAGAGAGGAAGATGAGAGAGAGAGAGAGAGAGAGAGAGAGAGAGAGAGAGAGAGAGAGAGAGAAAGAGAGAGAGAGAGAGAGAAAGAGAGAGAGAGAGAGAGAGAGAGAGAGAGAGAGAGAGAGAGAGAAAGAGAGAGAGAGAAGAGAGAGAGAGAGGAGAGAGAGAGAGAGAGAGAGAGAGAGAGAGAGAGAGAGAGAGAGAGAGAGAGAGAGAGAGAGAGAGAGAGAGAGAGAGAGAGAGAGAGAGAGAAGGTTATCTGTCTGATGAACTCATTCCACCTCTAAATGGACAGGATGGGACCACCTCTACTAGTAGTCAAGAGAAGGCGGACCTCTTTGCCGAACACTTTGTTACCAAAATGGAAGTTCCTGATCCAGCAAGGGACACTCCTTGGCTAGCTGCAAGAACTGTGTCAAAACTGTCAGTGGTGACAATAAGGCACGAGGAGGTGTATTTCCTTCTTAAATCGATGAAAAAGGCTGTGGGCCTAGACAAGTTGAGCCCAAGATTGCTGAGATATGCCGACCAGCTAGCAGCACCTCTAACTCGCATCTTTCAGCACTGCCTAGTACAGTGTAAATGGCCTTCTCTGTGGAAAGAGGCAAATGTAGTCCCTGTTCACAAAAAGAAGATCAGAGCAGAAATCAGCAACTACAGACCAGTGTCACTCCTGTCAGTCACTGGCAAGATCCTTGAGACAATAATCTCAAAGCAAAGGACAAAGTTTTTGACTGCCACTCACTGCTTTGTGACCGTCAATATGACTTCAGGAAACGTTACTCTGCTGCTGATCTGTTGTTAAACCTCTCCCTAAATGGTACCAGTCACTGGATGAATCTAAAGTCAGCTGTGTGGTAGCACTGGACATTGCTGGTACTTTCGACCAGGTGTGGCACCAGGGCCTCTTAGCAAAACTGCAAGCTCTGGGAACTGCAGGTTCTACACTATGTCTCCTCAGTGATTACCTTCATGGTAGATCTCTAAGGGTAGTTCTCAATGGAACAGAATCAGCAAGACATCCTACTGGGGCAAGTGTTCCACAAGGAAGTGTGCTGGGACCATTGTTATGGAATATCTACTTCAATGACCTTCATCTCATCTCAGAATCCCATGCATATGCAGACAACTGGACACTGACATTTACTTATCCAAGAGAAGAAATGCAAGTTGCTCTAAGCTACATCAATCACCAGCTAAGAGCTATATCAGCTTGGGGAAACAGAGGGCAAGTAACATTTGCACCTGAGAAAACACAAATGATGATGGTCTCTAGGCACCATGATGGTAATGCTGGTGCAGTAGTAAGCATGAAATGAATGGGAGGGTGCTTGTACTTGGGAAAGAAGTTGATTTCACACCAGTGAAATTTGACTCCAAACTGACCATGAAGAACCACGTTGTAAATCTTGCAAACAAGGCAGCCAGGAAGCTTACAGCACTTCGCCGTATCTCGTATCTGCTTGACAGTAGGGGTTGCAAGATTCTGTTTGAGGCACAAGTACGCTCACACCTTGAGTATGCTCCACTTTCTTGGTTTGCCTTTCCTCCCCCTCATCTGCGACTGCTTGATAGAGTAGAGAACAGAGCAAGACATCTCATCTCTCGCCTGGACCCATCCTGGATAGATCTGTCATTTCAGCAGAGTCTTCAACACAGGACGGATGGGGTGGCCTTACTGTTATGTACAAGGCCAACATTGTCAAAGTACCACACTTGGATCCACTTCGAGAACAGCGTGAAGCAAGCTTCTATACCACAAGACGGGCAGAAAGCAGCAACTTCACTCTGGCTGTACCCTTCTCCAGAACATCACTTCATCTGAGATCATTTATCCTCAGGATCACTCGAGTATGGAACACATTCGTACAGCATTGTAATGTTAACGAGATAAAGTCAGTTGATCAAACGAAAATGCTGGTCCACAGATGGCTCCAACTTCATCCTGTTCCCTATTTGTATTTTTCATAACAATAAAAATACTTATATGTTTCATAACAATAACAATGCTTTCAAATGAGCTGATGTAGGTAACATCTCTTAGCTTGTCAATATAGTTAGGAATCCTTAACCTAACCTTGTCAATCCCTGTATAAAGAAGAGAGAGAGGAGAGAGAGAGAGAGAGAGAGAGAGAGAGAGGAGAGAGAGAGAGAGAGAGAGAGAGAGGAGAGAGAGAGAGAGAGAGAGAGAGAGAGAGAGAGAGAGAGAGAGAGAGAGGAAGAGAGAGAGAGGGGAGAGAGAAGAGAGGAGAGAGAGAGAGAGAGAGAGAGAGAGAGAGAGAACTTTATTTCTTACCTAACACCCATCACCTAACATCCGTTACCTAATAATGTTACCTAACACCCATTACCTAACACTTGTTACCTAACACTAGGTATCTAACACCGTTACTTAACATCCGTTACTTAACATTCGTTACATAACACTCGTTGCCTAACACTTGTTACCTAACACCTGTTACCTAGCACCTATTACCTAACACTTGTTGCCTAACACCGATACTAATACTCATCAACACAATGCCCCACAATATCACATAAATAAGAGAGAAAAAATCAATGCATTTTACAGAAGCAAACACAGAAATCATACTCATTTAAACTAAGGCAAATATACAAGCCACACATTCACAAATTTAAAAAAATGCACCAATCATACACTCGTAATCTAAAAAATACACACATTCCATACCGGCAAATCACCTAGAATAGAACTGAATAGAATACACACATCACACACTCACAAACTAAAAAAATACACGAATCATACACTCGCAGCCTACAACAAACACACAAAAACACAAATCACACACTAAACCCAAAATAAATAAAACACACATAAAAAAAACACATGATAACAAGAAACCATTTTTGAACGCATTTTAAGTTAGGGTGCGACAGTTTTAATGGGAGAAAATTTTTTCTTTAGTTATAGCTTAAACTTAATCAACTAACAGAAAACGAGAACAATACCATTAGGATGCGCTAAGTCCGAGAGAGTGGCACAGATCCTATATAGTAAGACGAAATCGGCTTTGATCCGAGGATGAGGAGGGCGGATCCAGTTCCCTGGATCAAGAGCTATTGAGCTGATTCATGGTACGTCTTTTGAAGAGGTTAAATTTGATGCTGAAGGAATGGGGGGTCGTTGAATAAGACGTTGAAAGAGGATTCTATAATAAGACATAGTCATAGAGATAGGATGAGAATTCTTGAATAAGACGTAAAATAGGAGGAGTAGTCTTGAATAAGACATAGATAGAGGAGGGGAATTCTTGAATAAGACGTAGAAAGAGGAGGAGTATTCTTGAAAGAGACGTAAATGGAGGATGAGCCAGAGGGGTCATTCAATTAGAAGTTGAGAGAGCAGTACTCACTCAGGACTAGTTTTGTTAAGGTTGACAGTGTCGACAACTGTGGTGATGCTGGTGAAGTTGCCATTTTCCAGCAGCACCTTGATGACGTTCGAAACGTCGTGCTTCTTCCAGACGTTATAGTCTGCCTCAAGGCGACACCTTTCCCCGCTCTCTTCCAGCCAAGGTGACTTGATCTGTCTGGTGTTGTTGGTGTTGGTGGAGCTCAGGAAAACGCCCAGGTACAGGAAGTGTCCTGTGGGAGGGAAGTACACAAGTGTTACTACACACAGCAATCACCCAGGTAGAGGAAGTGTTCTGTGGGAGGGAAGTACACACCTGTGTACTTCCCTCCCATATATTTAAAATTTTAAGGGAGGTCGGCCTATTCGGCTTATTAGGCAAGATATATATATATATTATATATATATATATATATATATATATTATATATATATATATATATATATATTATATATATATATATATATATATATATATATATATATAATAATATTAATAACACCCATCCTAGGGTGCCACCAATCCCAGGGTGCCACCCATCCCAGAGTGCCACCCACCTCATGGTGCTACCCACCTGCTTCGCTTCATCCTAATCACTGCACACTATAATAAACCCAGTTTAAGCAAGACTTTATTTACCCTAATTTTCTGTCCGTCTCTATCTCTCTGTCTCCTCACTAATACACCCTCACACACCCTCACACACACCCTCACACACCCTTTACACATCCTTACACACCTTACACTCCCTCACACATCCTTACATACCTTCACACACCCTCAGACATCTCACACACCCTCATACATCCTCACACACCCTCACACATCTTACACACCTCACACTCCCTCACAATCCTTACATACCTTCACACACCCTCAGACACCCTCACTCATCCTCACACATCCTTACACATCCTCACACACCCTCACACATCCTTACATACCTTCACACACCTCGGACACCCTCACACCTCCTCACGCACCCTCACACGCCCTCACACACCCTCACACATTCTTACACACCCTCACACTCCCTCACACATCCTTACATACCTTCACACACCCTCAGACACCCTCACTCATCCTCACAACATCCTTACACATCCTCACACCCCCTCACACATCCTTACATACTTTCACACACCCTCAGACACCCTCACACCTCCTCACGCACCCTCACACACCCTCACACGTCTTCACACACCCTCACACTCCCTCACACATCCTTACACACCTTCACACTTCCTCACACACCCTCACATACACACACACACACACACACACACACACTCACACACCACTTCGACCATTCTTCTGGCACATCTTAAGACCTCTCAGAGGCACTGAGTGACATTGGCACTCTGCCTTCATAAGTCCTGACGTCAAAGTGCCAACCTCCAAGTAAATCTTGGCACCACTGCCATCACTGCTTCGTAAACAGGCACTCAAATTATACATATATACATACATCCATACACACACACACACACACACATACATACATACATTATATATATATATAAATTATTTAGAAATGCAGGTCTCTGATCAGACAGGCTGTTGAGTTGCCTGTGACATGCGTACACAGGAAGGATTGAAACTTGAGTATGGGATGTGGAGAGATGGGTAGGTTTATTATATTTGTCAGAGGGGATGTTGCGTGTGAAGGATCACATGGGTTGGTATGAGAGGGTGGTTGGTGGTGGTTGGTGGTGGTTGGTGGTGGTTGGTGGTGGTTGGTGGTGGTTGGTGGTGGTTGGTGGTGGTTGGTGGTGGTTGGTGGTGGTGGTGGTAGTGATGATAGTGGTAGTTGCAGTACTGATGGTCTTGTGGTGGTAGTGGTAGTTATAGTAGTGCTGGTGTTGTGGTGGTAGTGGTGGTGGTGATGGCAGAAGTAAACAGCTGTTACGAGTGGTTGGTGGCACCCAATTGGCTCTGTGCCATCACACACGAGGCAGCTCTCTCTCTCTCTCCTCTCTCTCTCTCTCTCTCTCTCTCTCTCTCTCAAATACACACACACACAGTGATGTAGTGGAGGCAGGTTCCATACATAGCTTTAAGAAGAGGTATGATAAAGCTCATTGGGCAGGGAGAGAGTGGACCTAGTAGCGACCAGTAAAGGCGCAGGGCCAGGAGCTGTGAATAGTCCCTTGCAAGTACAATTAGGTGAGTATACACACACACACACACACACACACACACAACACACACACACACACACACACACACACACACACACACACACACACACACACCACACAGCTGGCCATCCCTACATTGCTTCAATTACCAACATTTGCCGCAGCACCACCACCCCCTACAACCACCACCACTACCATCACCACCATTACTATTTACAACAATTTAGTACATTTCCCTCTAGAATATGCATTATATATATATATATATATATATATATATATATATATATATATATATAATATAATATATATATATATATATATAATATATATATATATATATATATATATATATATATGCAAACAAAGCGACGGTCTGGAGTTTTGAGACTCTCTGACCGCGGGTTCAATCCCGCCCGTGGTATGGTCTCTTTCGTGTTGCTGTCAACACATCATCAGGAACTTGCAAAATTGGAGAAAAGAGGAGGACGTCCAAGGAAGTATGTGCCCAGAGGACAGTCTTCACGAAAATTTGTGTATGCAATAATTTCGCAAAAATTATTCTGAACCTAACGAAGAAAAATATATTTCATTGTGTTTGTTTAGTATTAAATTATTGTAAACTTATCTAAAATATATTTAGTTGGATTAGGCTAAATTAAATTGCGCTTGTTATAATAAGGTCAGGTAAGTTTTCTAGGGTTCTTTTGGTACAAAATTTTTATTTTTTACACTAATGTAAATGAAAAAAATATATCTTTGAACGTATAAGAGAAAATTTTAGAAAATACTTAATTTTAAATAAGTTCTTGTTAATTGACTAATTTTACCTTTTCGGTACGAGAGTGTCAGCAGTGAGAGTGTCAGCAGTGAGAGTGTCAGCAGTGAGAGTGTCAGCAGTGAGAGTGTCAGCAGTGAGAGTGTCAGCAGTGAGAGTGTCAGCAGTGAGAGTGTCAGCAGTGAGAGTGTCAGCAGTGAGAGTGACAGCAGTGTGAGTGTCAGCAGTGAGAGTGTCAGCAGTGAGAGTGTCAGCAGTGAGAGTGTCAGCAGTGAGAGTGTCAGCAGTGAGAGTGTCAGCAGTGAGAGTGTCAGCAGTGAGAGTGTCAGCAGTGAGAGTGTCAACAGTAAGAGTGTCAGCAGTGAGAGTGTCAGCAGTGAGAATGTCAGCAGTGAGAATGTGTCAGCAGTGAGAGTGTCAGCAGTGAGAGTGTCAGCAGTGAGAGTGTCAGCAGTGAGAGTGTCAGCAGTGAGAGTGTCAGCAGTGAGAATGTGTCAGCAGTGAGCGTGTCAGCAGTGAGAGTGTCAGCAGTGAGAGTGTCAGCAGTGAGAGTGTCAGCAGTGAGAATGTGTCAGCAGTGAGAGTGTCAGCAGTGAGAGTGTCAGCAGTGAGAGTGTCAGCAGTGAGAGCGTCAGCAGTGAGAGTGTCAGCAGTGAGAATGTCAGCAGTGAGAGTGTCAGCAGTGAGAATGTGTCAGCAGTGAGAGTGCAAGCAGTGAGAGTGTCAGCAGTGGAGTGTCAGCAGTGAGAGTGTCAGCAGTGAGAGTGTCAGCAGTGGAGTGTCAGCAGTGAGAGTGCCAGCAGTGAGAATGTGTCAGCAGAGTGAGTGTCAGTAGAGTGTGCCAGCAGAATGAGAGTGTCATCAGTGTGTCAGCACTGAGAGTGTCAGTAGAGTGTGCCAGCAGAATGAATGTGTCAGCAGAGTGAGTGTCAGTAGAGTGTGCCAGCAGAATGAATGTGTCAGCAGAGTAAGTGTCAGTAGAGTGTGCCAGCAGAATGAGAGTGTCATCAGAGTGTGTGTCAGCACTGAGAGTGTCAGTAGAGTGTGCCAGCGGAATGAATGTGTCAGCAGAGTGTGTGTCAGCATAGTGAGAGTGTGTCAGCACTGAGAGTGTCAGCTAGGTATGGTCTCTTTAAGTTGCGTGGGGGGAGTGGTGCCAACCCTTCCCCCATTTAAACCCACCAGAGAGGGGGAAGCGCCCCTCCTCTCCAGTATAAACCAAGTTTCAACCCTACTCACTAAACCTGTCCTACCTCAGTAAGTAGGTACCCAGCAGTAAGTAGGTATTCAGCAGTAAGTACCCAGCAGTAAGTAGATACCCAGCAGTAAGGAGATATCCAGCAGTAAGTAGGTACCCAGCAGTAAGTAGGTACCCAGCGGTAAGTAGGTACCTGCTGGCTGCTAGTAGTTGGTGGCATCCTGGGGGAGGGGCAGCAGGAACCCAGTAATCCACACACTGCCTGGCTTAACTGGGATTTTCTGGGGTTGATTATCCCATTCATTTATCCTATCCAGTTACCCAGTTCAATTATTCTATTCAGTTACCTATGTAGTTGTTGTGGTTATTGCGGTTATTGTGGTTGTTGTGGTTGTTGTGGTTGTTGTGGTTGTTGTGATTGTTGTGGTTGTTGTGGTTGTTATGGGTGTTGCGGTTGTTATGGTTGGGTTACTGGGAACAGTGATTGATTCCTGGACACACACACACACACACAAATCGGATGAGGATCAGGCAGGACTACAAAGAGACCTGGACAGGCTACAAGCCTGGTCCAGCAACTGGCTCCTTGAGTTTAACCCCGCCAAATGCAAAGTCATGAAGATTGGGGAAGGGCAAAGAAGACCGCAGACACAATATAGTTTAGATGGCCAAAGACTGCAAACCTCACTCAAGGAAAAAGATCTGGGGGTGAGTATAACACCGAGCATATCTCCTGAGGCGCACATCAATCAGATAACTGCTTTCAGCATACGGCGCCTGGCAAACCTACGGATAGCGTTCCGATACCTCAGTAAGGATTCGTTTAAGACTCTGTATACCATCTACGTCAGGCCCATACTGGGGGTATGCAGCACCAGTTTGGAATCCCCACCTAGTCAAGCACGTCAAGAAATTAGGAAAGTGCAAAAAGGTTTGCAACAAGACTAGTCCCAGAGCTACGGGGATTGTCCTATGAAGAAAGGTTTAGGAAACGGCTGACGAACAGGAGGCCAGGGGGTCAGGGAGACAGGATAACGAAATAAAAATTACTGGCGGAAACGGTGGACAAAGAGGGAGTTCAGGGGGAAAAACCAAGAGGACAATTTTTGGGAAGT